GATATTTATTTCTGCTTTCTACATATTACTTATTTTAGATGCCACCAAGGCTGATTTGGGTTGGTTTGTTTGCTTGTTTTTTTAACCACTGTTTAATCACGATGCATGCAAATGTTTAACTACAAAGACATTTTATCTCAGCACTGTTTATAATAGTGGACATTTGCAAAGATTCTAAGTGTTTCTCAAGGAAAATGGGTAGTTGTATTGTGATGATGAAACATTTTATGTTGCAAATGATGTGGTGTAATAAATAACAAGGAGAAACATTCACAAGCTACTGTTATATGTTTAAAAAGTCATTAAAGAATAATAGTACAGACTTTATGATGGAGGGGGAAGAGTGGGGGAAGGGATAATTAGGGAGTTTGGGATCAACAGTACACATTGCTGTATTTAAAATGGATAACCCACTGCCTTGCACAGGGCACTCTAGTCAGTGCTATGGGGCAGCCTGGATGGGAGGGGGCTGGGGGAGAATGGATACATGTATATAAGGCTGAGTCCTTTTGCTGTCCATCTGAAACCATCACAATGTTGTTAATCAGCTGGATTCCAATATAAAATAAAAAGTTTTAAAAATGCAAAAAAAAAAAAAAGAATAGTATGTACAAAATGATCCTCTTTGAATTTTAAAATAAAACAGGGAGGGACTTTAGTAAGTAAATGTCACCAAATATTATCAGTAGTGATATAATTTGTGTTATTTTTATTTTATCTAGGTTTTTCTATATTTTCCAAATTGTCTGCAATGACTGTATTCCTATGTGATCAGATAAGTTTATTTTTTTAAATATTATCTCTGGGACCCTATTGACATAGCAAGGTAAGTATTGGTAATATTTTTCCAGGCTCAGAATTTCATACCCTTTTAGGCTCTCAGATACCCAGCTGGTCTACTAAAAATATTGTACTGTCTGTCTCTATAATCTTTTCATGTATCTCAAGATTATCCCTGAAAATTAGACCATTAAAATGTTATTATATAAGGTAATCTTCAGCATTAATTTAAAACCATATTTTGTCCCCAATGCTTCCTTTGTAAAATCATAACTAGGCTTTTGTTATTAATTAGACTAATTCTGTATTTTTAAAAAAAACATCCTTTCAGTTGTTCAGGGACTAAAGAGCTCTTACTAACATAAATTCTGATAGTCACTGATGGACCAATAAGCACCTAATTCCCTCCACAGTGGGATGTGAAATGCTTTGAAAGTCAAGTATGTTCTCCCCAGTGTGTACAATGAACATTTAGTTCCATGAACCACAGCCTTTCCTCTGCCAGCTATACTACTGTGAAGCATTCAACGTTTAAAAAAATTATTCTGCCTCCTAAGAGCCTCACCATCTGCTACAGATGAACTCAGAAACAGGGAGATAACTATAGCGCAACATGAAACCATAGAAGCTGGAGCTGGAAGGACCCAGAGCACAGCCACACACTCTTTTCCAATTGAGGGAGGGTGAGAAAAGAAAGCTTGTTCAGTAAGTAAGAAAGCTTGTTCAATAAACAAGTCCATGTAAGAACTGAAGGGTAAAGATGTCACTTTTGGACTTGCTTGGTGTTATAATAGTTAAGGGGCTTCCCAGGTAGCTTAGCTGGTTAAGAGTCTGCCTGCAATGCAGGAGACTCCTGTTCTATTCCTGGGTCGGGAGGATCCGCTGGAGAAGGGATAGGCTACCCACTCCAGTATTTTGGGGTTTCCCTGGTGACTCAGATGGCAAAGAATTCACTTGCAATGCAGGAGACCTGGGTTTGATCCCTGGGTTGGGAAGACCCCCTGGAGAAGGAAAAGGCAACCCATACCAGTATTCTGACCTGGAGAATCCCATGGACAGAGGAGCCTGGTGGGCTACAGTCCATGGGGTCACACAGAGTCAGACATGACTGAGCGACCAAGCACAGCACAGCGGCACAATAGCTAAGAATCCACCTGCCAATGCAGGGGACACCTGATCCCTGGTCGGGACGATCCCACATGCACTGGGGCAACTAGCCCATATGCTGCAGCTCCGGAGCCTGTGCTCTACAACTGAAGCCACCGCGGTAAGGAGCCCACAGACTACAATGGCAAGTAGCCCCTGCTGGCTGCAAACAGAGAGCCCGCTTTCAGCAACAGAGACCCAGCACAGCCATTAATAAATAACTTTTAAAAAATATGTCATTTTTGACAAAATTCTGAAATGTTGCAGGTGGAAAACTGTTCCCATTGTAAAAAGTAGTCAATCAGTGTAATTAGTCAAAATTCACAGCAACTCCTAACTTTTGGATTCAGCCTTCTGATCGACACCTTCTCCTCCATGCCATGTGCCTGCTGGATGGTGGAAGGGGCCTTACATGCATGCACTTAATGCCTGTGGTCTGAGGAGCAAAGTGAGCTGAGGACCACCGGGAAAGGAAGTATGCAAAGAGCACTTTCAAGTTTTGAGCATCTAATGGAAATTTCACTGGCTTCCAGGTAGTGTGGAAATTATTGGTAGGGTTGATTATTATATATCCTGATCCTGTCCTTCATGTTTGAGAGGATATTGAGAGGGAAAACACAATTTCTTTTGAATCTGAGAGCAAAGGCTCTCTTTTGAAGCCTAGTGTGTTTGCCTCATTAACGGCAGCAAAGTAATGCAATTACATGAAAATTCTTCATTGTGAGGGATGGTGAGAAATGATCAGCATTTTTTAAGGAAAGAGATTTTGGTCATACTGAGATAGACATCTCTCTTTTAAATTTGTAATTAAAAAAATCACATTTTACTTGGGCAACTGTGGAGTCTTCAAAGTCTTCTAAAATGCTTCTTGTTATACTTAATGACACTACAAAGTATTTGGCTTAATTAACCAATGGATACACTTCATAGCTTCTAAACTCCTTTGAATCCAGATCCTGCTCTGTCCAATGCTAGATTTGTATCTGGTAGAGAGTCCTCCATTAAAATATTTCACACACTGTTTTCACTTTTTATGTGTGGTTTTGAATAGCGGTTGTCCTTAGAATTGAAATAGCTTATCTCTGAATTCTAAGCAACATGCCAGCCATCCTAGAAGCAAACTTCCTCTGACAGACAGTTCCAGGAAGCATGACTCATCTGCCCAGGAAGTGTTTAAGGAGGTGCCACGATAATAGAGTCGGTGTAGACACGCTGCTGCTCCCACATCCCATCTCCTCTACTTCTCTGCTTTTCTTTGGCCAGAAAAGGGATTTTAACTACCCTACTCTTAGATTCAGATAACACCCAATCCCTGTGGCTTTGGGAGGAAATCTGAGAGGCCAGAGAGGGGAAGCCCTACTTTCAACATAGGGCCAATCTAAGCTAGTCACATTAGGAAGGCTGTTTTGGATACTGTAGCTTTTCATTTACTGCAAAATATTTTAGAACAACAAATTATCCATAAAATTGGATTTATGTTAAAAAAAAATAATATTTATTAGCACTTACTCTATGCTGAGTATCATTCTAAGTCCTTTCCATGTATTATCTAATTTTTTTTGTGCTCAATCACTTCAATCATGTCTGACTCTTTGCGACCTATGGACTGTAGCCCTCCAGACTCCTCTGTCCATGGGATTCTCCAGACAAGCATACTGGAGTGGGTTACCATGCCCTACTCCAGGGAATCTTCCCAACCCAGGAATCTGACATCTGACCCTTATCTCTGATATCTCCTACAGTCAGGTTCTTTACCCACTGAGCCAATCTTCATTTTTTAGTTTTTTTTTTTTAACTCTTCTAGTTAAGTTTCCAAGCTTATTAAATGAAAGACTTGAGAAGCGATAATTGTCTAAGGTCATATGATTTTTAAAATTTATTCATTTATGGCTGTGCTGGATCTTTGTTGCTGCTCATAGGCTTTCTCTAGATGTGGTGAGAGGGACTACTCTCTAGCTGTGGTGCTCAGGGGTCTCGTGGTAGTTTTTGTTGAGGAGCATGAGTTGTAGGTACACATGCTTCATAGTTGTGGCTGACAGGCTTTAGTTGCTCTGAGCCATGTGGGATTTTCCAGGATAAGGGATCGAACCTGTGTCCTCTGCATTAGCAGACAGATTCTCATCCACTGGAGCACCAGGGAAGCCCCATGTATTACCTACTTTAAAATTCCAGCAGCCCTATAATGCAGATAGTATTGTTATCTCCATTTTAAAGCTCTGGAAACTGAGGTATAGAGAAGTAATTCAACATTTTAAAAGGCATCAACAACTCAAGAAGAATTGCTCTTGTTTCCTTCATTGGCAATTAGCTTTAAAAATAAGAACTGTTAAATTAAAAAAAAAACAGCAAAGTCCTTATTCTCTGTGATAACAGAGAGTAACAAAAATAATTTTTTAAGTTACAGTGATAACACCCAAAACTCCAGTTAGTCAATGGAATTGACATTTTCTTCATTATATTTCTTAATAGAGCTTGGAGTGAAATAAGTGGACCAAAATGTTGACTTTCTCATTTATCCTTTGTGAGAATTGTCAAAATGCATTAGTGAAGCAGGCTATAGACAGAAAACAAGAAGAAAATTAAATGTCTTGAGAAATGAACTATTAATTATATCTCAGCCCCTAAAGAATTAAATGCTCTCTATTTAGGAATTTCTGTATACCTAACTGGACTTCCTAGGTGGTACTAGTGGTAAAGAACCCACCCGTCAATGCAAGAGATGTAAGAGACATGTGTTCGATCCTAAGTCAGGAAAATCCCTTGCAGAAGGGAATGGCAACCCAGTCCAGCACTCTTGCCTGGGAAAGCCCATGGACAGAGGAGTTTGGTGGCCTACAGTCCATGGGGTCACAAAGAATTGGACACAACTGAAGTGAAATAGCTCGCATGCTGCACACTATACCTAACTAAAGTTAGGTATATTCGCTGAGGCAAATATGACACCTATTTAAGATGTCACCTATTGAACCTAACTAAGGTTAGGTATGTTTGATGAGGCAAAAATGACATTATGTGTTTACTATGTGCCTATCTCTTTATATATAAAACTCTTTTATCTCATTTTACAGATGGGGAAAGTGAGCCACTTAGAAGTTAAAAATTTGCTCAACGTTTCCTGACTAGTTATGGGTGAAATCTGGGTTCAAACCCAGGCAACTGGCTCCAGAGTCTATACTATCCAAACTGAACAGGTGTCAAGATGACTGGAGCCTGGGCACCTGCAACACATCCTCTCCTGAGTGAGTAATAGATGAGTTACTGAATCTTAGTCTATTATTAGCATCCACAAGAGTCTGCAGATAGAAGAGGGCTGGCATGAGCTATTCAAATACCAGGGAACTCCCCAAGAACAACAGAAAGAGCAGAGATGGAGCTGTCTCCAACTGTGGTTTATCTTTAAACCAAAAAACTTGGTAACGGAGGTCACTGTTTCTGAGACCTGTACAGAACCAGCTGTGTCTTTATGTGATGAGCAGCGATGCAAACAAGACATTTGTGGACACTTTGCTTATTAGCAAGGGTGCAAATTCTTTAAAAGGATAAGAGAAATCAAAGGCCTCCCAAGAACTGGATGGTGGAGTAAGGGAACTTGGAAGAGAAAGAGAACAAACTCTGAAGCCTTAGAGCCAAACAGACCCAGGCTGCGTCTGAGAGAGAAGTCAGACCTTGGGCACGAGGAGCAGCTACTAATAACCAACAGGTCATGAGAAAGGGAGATGACATTTCCAAGAAATGGAGAAACAACACTCTGAAAGGTAGGAGGAAGGATCTGAATGGCCAAGCAGGAGTTACCCTCTCTGTGGAAGGAACATGGGGGGAGGAATAACGAGCATTTCTGGAGAGCTCAGATTGCTTTATTTACTCTTATAACAACTTTATAAGTAGGTGCAAGTATTCCTTCCATTTAAGACATGAGGAAACCGAGGAAGTGAGAGGATAAATTTTATGCCCAAGCTCAGAACTAGTGAGAAAGAGCCAAACTTTGAACCAGGGGGACCCCAGAGCCTACAGTTCTCCTGTCTATAAATGACCACACTGATACCCAATTGCCAAACTATCCTGAAGATAAGCAATAACTATCATGGGGATGTCTATGAGAGTACTCGGCACAGAGTAGACACTGATTACTGTAATCCTTTTAAGTTTTTATTGGAGCGTAGCTGATTTAAAATGTTGAGTTATGATTACTGCAATTCTCAAAAGAGACATCTTAGATGTGAAGGAGAATTTCCTCATTTTTCATGAACTTGAACATTTTGCTTCTTTGTTAGAGAAAGAAATGGCAACCCACTCCAGTGTTCTTGCCTGAAGAATCCCAGGGATGGGGAAACCTGGTGGGCTGCGGTCTGTGGCGTCGCACAGTCAGATACAACTAAAGCAACTTAGCAGCAGCAGCAGGAGAATAAAACTAGAAAAAAAAAAAAGAAAAGAAAACATCTCTAGAATAATGTTTCCCTAAGAATGTTCTGTGAATTAGGAGTGGCCAATAGATGTTAATAAGAATTCTAGGCAAAGACAGAACACTGCTTGTGGTGCCCCCAGAGGGCTTCCTCCTAGGGGAGGCACTGGCCTCTTGGGGTGGGGAGGGGAAAGGGGGAAGGGAGGATGGGGTGGAGGAAAGAGGGGGAGGGGGCGGAGGTGGAGCTGGGGTGCCCTCGCCTGCAATGCCATCAGGCTGCATCCAGAAATCTCTTTTCCACAGTGTTACCACCCCCACTGGATGCAGTGTTCACCCATTTCTGCCGATTTCACCTATTTCACCTCCAGGTGCTCTCAAACCCTCTGTTAGGTTCTCCCTCCACGGCCCTGGCAGGAATCCACCACCCCTCACCTGGACAGCAGCAATCCTCTTCCTGAACCTCCAGAGCTCCCCTTACCTCCCTCCCATTCATTCTCTGAGCCATAGTCTTCCGAAGTGCCAGTCCAGCATGCTGTCTCTCTGCTCACACTCTGGAAAGAACTTTTGCTACTCTTAGACGGCCACCAAGATTCTGCACATGCCTGCAAGGGCTCCAACCTACAGGCCCCTGCCTCCCGGGAGCCTCACCCTCGGCCTCAGCCCTGCTGTATCTTTCAGTTCTGACAGAGGTTCTTCTCAACCCCACTGGAGCCAAGCTCCTTGGAGCCTTCCTCCCAACTAAGCCTCAACCTTGGCCTTTATAAAGATTACAGGGTCTCAGCACAAACATTTCATCCACGTATTCTTCTAAAATTAAAAGATTTAAACACTAACATAGTTTCTGACAGCTCAAGGTCACATCCTCCGGATGACCCCAGTGCCCCACTTAAGGAGCCTGCCTGAGATAGTTCAAGGCCACCTAAAGGGTTTGCTATTTGTTCCAACCAACACCTGTTCCAGGCCCCTGACTACCCTTTTTTGGAGACCTTACTAAAAAGGGCTTATAATTATGAATCCTTCTCTTGTCCTTTTGAGATATATATGTGTCTCCTACAACTCAGAGCATCTTTCTTAAAATCTAAAACTCATTCCTGTGAAATGAAACCACCAGGAAGGACAGGGCCCTTGTTTCCCAGTCTCTGTGGCAAGAGAGACTCCTTACTGCCGCCAGACACACACACACTGGCTTCATCACACTCCCCTGTCCAACCCTCGGTAATTTCCCATTTCCCTGACTCTGCCCGAGGCCCTGCGGATTCCCTCCCAACTCCCTCATTCTCCGTTTGAAACACCTGGTCATCTCTGGACAAGCTGAAGTTGAGTTCAGTTCACGCTGGACCTGCTTCCCTCTTGCAAGAGCTTATACTGATTGAAACCTGTCCTCTCCACTTTAAAGTGTCCGGCTCTGTTTGCCTTTGACAGTTCCTCAACCACAACTCCCCTTGCTGAAGCCTCCAGCTCTGCAACACCTTGTCCATTCACTCTTGCTCAGGACTCCCGCATAATATCCCTGATAGCACTTAACACAACTTGTGACTAAATTTGTATACTGGTGCAAAATGACTAAGGGCTTCCCTGGTGGTTTAGTGGTAAAGAATCTGCCTGCCAATGCAAGAGATGCAGGTTCAATCCCTGGATTGGGAAAATCCTCTGAAGGAGAACGTCAGTATCCACTTCAGTATATTTTGCCTGGAGAATCCCATGACAGAAGAGCCTGGCGGGCTATAGTCCATGGGGTCTCAAAGAGGCAGACATGACTTAGTGACTAAACAACAACAACAGTAATAATAAATTGATTAACATCTGTCTGCTCCATTGAAAACAAGGAAAACTGATGCTTAAACAGCTGTATTTCCACAGCCTATGTGTCTAAAATATATTTGAGAGACTGAATGAGTGGATAAATAAGTGACCAATGCATATTTAGGGCAGTAAAAGCCTGAGGAAGTACTACAGCAAAAACAGAACAAAACAGATCCTGTTGCATTGTTTGATTCAGAATTTCTCAAATTTATGAGAACAGTGATCTCTTTATTTATAAGACATCTGACAACGTGTGTGACAGAGAGAGCTATCTGGCTTCCCCAAATGCAATTCCCCTTTGTCTGCGTTCCTGAACCACTATATGGAAGGCAGAGGAGCACCTGAATTGGTCTCTAACGTGACTGAGAAGCAAACTTGTATTGTACTAAGTATCCAAGCATCTCTGAGTTCTCCTAAAACAACTAGTATTCTTTCCTGTGCTCAGTTGCTCCATTGTCTTCAACTCTTTGTGACCCCACGGACTAGCCCACCAGGCTCCTCTGTCCATGGAATTTCCCAGGCAACAACACTGGAGCAAATTACCATTTCCAGAGGATCTTCCTGACCCAGGGATTGAACTCATGTCTCCTGTGTCTCCTGCATTGACAGGCAGATTCTTTACCTCTGAGCCACCTGGAAAGCCCACAGTATTCCTTAACTAATTATAATTGCATCAGGCACGTGGGCCTGATGCTGCAGAGTTGTAGGTACAGAAAATACTACTCAGGCTGCAAACCTGGACAACATGAGTGTAGGACTGGAAGACCGAGGGACATCAGTGATGTTCTCAAGGATGCTTTTCATCAGCAGCGCACCATTTTGTCACTGCAAGGAGGACATGGAGGTGCAGAAAGCAATGATATAAACATCTGGGGAAGAAGATGACATCACAAAGAGGATTTGGCAAGGGATGAAGTTAATCTTATAAAGGCTACAGGGAAATACATTTGACGGAAGTCACTGACATAATTGAGAGGACCTGAAATGGACATAAGTGGAAAGGGAAGGCATTAGAAAGAATGTTGAAATGATGTAATGGAAGATGATAGTGGCAAAGGTGCCAAATAAAGAAGGTGGGGAGGAAGTTTAGAGTCAGAATTCACACACTGTAAAGTGAATCTGACAGTTTAATGTACTGAGATAAATATAATAGCATCAGTGAGCCTTAGTGAATCAAAGCATATAATGTATGCTTGACTTTGTACAGCTTTGGCTGTAGCAGTGGAAAAGTAAGCCCTATTGAAAGAGAAACACAGAACAGCCCTTGAAGGTATATTCTAAGAAGACACCTATTATAATCCTTACGACTTCCCAGGAGAGAGCTTTGAAGTGAGGATGAAATGTGCTGGCGTGATGGAAGTGGGCTGCAGACAGTGGCCCCAGCTGCTAAACTGAGGGTAATGCAGGATTTGCTCTATTGGGATCCCTGGGGATTTTGACTGAGTGGGGCTGGGGTGGGGTCTAGGGTCTATGAATATATTTTTAAACAAGTTACCTATATGATTCTGGAATGAAGCCAGATTTAGTAGCCAGTTATGAGGGCTTTATCCTCCACATCACCTTCTTCCTCAGTAGGTTTTTTGTTTTTGTTTTTGTTTTACAAAGGAAAGATACTAGCACCAGTGGAGCAAAAAGACACCAGGGATGGCAGAGATCAGATGTTTATGTGGACGTCCCTCAGGTGTCTTGCTGTTTGCTGAATTCTTTATATTCTGTGCTCTGTCAGAGTGCTGAGTGAAGAGACGTGCTCTCCTGAACTAACCCTGACCAGCAGAGACATGGTTGGAACTGTAGAAATGAACAAGCTATTAGGAGAGAGTGATCCATCTCCTCCGAGTCTGCGATGACGTGTCAGTCACAGGCGTGAGGCTTTAGGGAGAGAGATTCTGAAAGGAGATATGAGCACATGGACCAAAAAAAGTTTTAATTAAAAAATTAATGAAAGAACAAAGAAATTCAATAGAAAAAGGAAAGGAAATTCAAGAAAAAAAGACATACTCTAAAAAAAAAAATTAAACTCTGTCCATAAAGTCGAATAATTTGGGGGTTGGGTGGGTAAGAAAAGGGAAACCCTCTGAAGAACTCAGTCTAAGAAAAAAACCCATGGACCTACATGGTAGCTTTCTGACCATCCCATGAGCACACATACAAATTAGCTAAACTTTGGGATATGGCACAGTTAGAAAGAAATGTCTATTTTTTTAAGCTATGATTGGGGCAAAAGAAAGATGACAATGTGAGTTGGACCAATGCTTAAAGAAGACAGTGTAACATGAAGAAGGTGAAGTAGAAAGACAACTCTTATGATTTTGAAACTGGGAAAAGAAACTGGGAGAAAATTTAGAGGATAAGACTGTCAGTGCCTTTAAAAGAATTTTCCCATGCTTAAGTGCATTACACCATATAGTCCTGAGAGGTATGGTCACTACAGAACAAACTGTGTGATCTTGCTCACTTCACAGGCAATTCAAACCACACTTCAGGGGAACTCCCTGGTGGTCCAGTGGCCAGGACTCCACACTTTCACTCTTGACAGCCCAAGTTCAATGCCTAGTTAAGGAACTAAGATCACACAAGCCGCAGGTCACAGCCAAAAAAGAGAACAAAAGGCTTTAGCACGCCGGCAGAACCCATGTATGTCCCTGCTGAAAGGTTTTGCCTCCGTCCACAGATGTGAACTATGAGCAACTCGGGCCAGAGGGCTAGACCTTGCTGCCCCTGGTCAGAGCTGGTCATACTGAACAGAGGGGCACTTATCCATTGACAGCTAGATCCACACCTTGTTGCCAGACTCAAAGAGATGAGCACCGGCGACAGATGTAACCTGTCACCAGGGGAAAGTCTAGTTGTTTGTAAGCACCCGAGGTCCACCTGATTTTGCAGTGTTGTGGCTGGGGTGCCCTTATTTAAGTTAAATCTGTGAAATTGCAGAAACTCAGAGGAAGCTTTTGACATGAAAAATGAGACCAGAGTCTATGTTCACAGCAAGAAACAAGGAAGTCAGAAGAAAGAAGAAGAAGGGAGTCACTCCTGAGCCTTCTTGGTCCCTGTCCTCTCCCAGCTTTTCAGTTGATGCTGTGTGACATGAGGCTTCTTTTCCACTTTCCGAGGGTAAGAGCCATTCACAAACACTAGTCTTTTCCCCATGGGTCAGTTTGAGTGTGTATCTACAACCAAGAGTATGAGGCAGAAGAGGGAACATAGGAGGATGCCAGAGGTCTGAAGGGAAAATGTCGTAACTTCCAAAATGTGGGAAAGATTTATTTTGGAATCTCACAGATGAATAAGATGGATGGTAATTTGGGGGAAAATTCTACATTGGTCCCTGAACATAAGTTGTCAGTATGAAGCAAAGATATAGTAAATGATCACTGCTTCCCTATGCAACGGTCACGCTAAGTAGCATGAATTTCTCTTGGTGACACGGTCACTGAAGTGACCGTGGAAAGGGAAACTTCAGTGTTTCCATGGAAACTCCCTCGTGTCACCTCTGAGAGTGATAATTCTGAAACAGAACACACGCGGAGTGTGTGTGGTATTGTGGCTTGGGGCATTGGCCTGGAGCCACAGTGCCTGGTGGAAAGCCTGGCTCTGGTAATATAATCTGTGTGACTGTGGACAATCTGCCTTTGTCTCAGTTTCCTCACCTGTCAAATGAGATAACGATATTTCCTACACCACACTGTTGCTGCAAGAATTATCTAGCCAGTAACACGTTTCACAAATATAAGCTGTTATTATTACCAAGTTGTTTGAATGGTGCTTTCCCAAAAGTGTTCAATAACAGAAGCATGTTAACCCAAGAAAGCTACCATTTTAGAATACTTGAAACAGGAAGCATCTTTCTGATATTTTATCAAATATTTTTTAAGAAGTCACAGGCCAATGAGTCTACATGCAAATAAATAATGCTCTAAAGACCAGAGGATTTAGAGGAATCATCATGAGATGAAATTCTGAGGCAAAATAGTCCAGTATACCTTACTAGAAATAATATCTTGTTTGGCTATGAAGTCATTGCCTTTTATGTAAAAATGACCTGGAGACCACAAGTGTTTAATATCATCTAACACCACGACGTGGGTAACAACAAACCTATTCAATCTCAGCCTTCAACACTGGAACACACAAACCAGATAATACGGTCCAACACCAAGTTAGTAGGAGAGCTGAATCCAATCCTGGACCACATTTGAAGAGACACTCACATACCAGAGGGCACTAAGAGGAGGGGATCCTGTGAGAGCTGACCTTTCTGGACCCTTGGGAGCATCCCTCCTTGCTTATCACTGTCACCTTCTGTCCTAGGCCCTTCCCTCAGCTTCCACGACACAAAAACCTCTTGGTTTTCCTCCATCCTTGGCTCCCAACACACAGGCTCCCAGAACCAGCACAGGCCCTGGATTTCCTGTACATTTCTGTGCTGATTTTTCCCAAATCCATTACCTTTGTTTGTATTTTCGATACTGATTTGAAAAATTTCTCCTTCCAGATACAGTCTCAGCCTCAAAATAAAAATGAAAAAGTGAAACCAAGTAATAAAGCACAAAAAGAATCCTAAGATTGACTTCCTAAAACTGCAGGGGCAACACAGCCTTACTCCTTTAAGCAAATGACCCTTCCTCCCACTAAGTATTTTATTTCCAAATCTGAATCCTTTCATTTCACCCAGAGGACAAAGGAATAGAGGATGGATTTGTTTTCCAGTGGGATCTTTACCAAACCACACGTCTTAGCAAGGCTGGGCACAGTGTCCGACCAGCACCTAATCAAGTCCTTGCATAGTTTCAGAAGTTCTGTTAATTCAAAATAACTCAATTCTGGCTGCAATCACAGCCACTCACTTTGAACTTGGCTAAGTCACTTGAAAAAACCCTTGAACTAGAAGTTATAAAATAATGGAAGCTAGGTTTCTATGTTTGTGGCTTTTCTCTCCATTAATGGTCATGTGTGCTTTTAGAATTTCCATCATAAACCAGCCATTGTAGCAATTGCTTTGGTCTTGCCCCTTGGCTTACAGAAATGGAAAACATCTCCTCCCTCTGGCAACAGTGTCATTCTTTGGAAGGCTTAGCTGAACTTCTGGTTCTCATTCTGTATTTTTGTGGCTTTCACCATCAATGTTGCACAAGATACATGGCCCGTCTGTAACATCATCTGTGGAGCGGCTATGCTGTTGTTGGAACAAGTTTTCTAACACCTCCAAAAATTATCCGATGGGCCTTTTTGTTACCATTTCACCCTCAAGTAAGTCTGAAGTGGTGGAGTCTGGTCCCTGGAAAGGTTTCATCTCATTTGCTCCCACTCTTTCTGCCAAAGCTGTCCTTAAAGCCCAGTTCAAAAACTTCCTGTTCGCCCCGCTCTCTGCATTGTGCTTTTATCAAATAAGGCGCCCAGCAGATTGGTAAACATGCAATACTATGCACACCCATGAATTCTATTTTGGTATGTGCTTAAAGTGGTAGAATTGTAGTGAATGTGTAGAGATTACACAAAAAGGCCAGTTTGGAATTCAGTTCTTTCTTATAGCTTATCTTCCAGCTGATGCTAAAATGTGGCTGTGATGTTCAATTTAACCTGAACTTACTGAACTCCCATAAGACCCCAATTCTATAATCAGGGCCTGGGTTACAAAGTTAGCTGGAGACAGTTCTCACCTTCAAAAAGCTTACAGTCCAGTAAGGCATGCGGGCACAATCACACATGGTAAAAATATGATATGACAAACTGCTGTGTCTGTGGTATGAACAAGTGACTTTGAAAGAAACTTGTATTTTCTCCTAAAGAATTAACAAAATCTCACCATGTGAAGAAACGAAGGTGATCACTCCAGGTAAATGGAATGAGACAAATATGCCATTGTCAAGCTTGTAAAGACCGCCCAAGCACTAGATCACGAAAGTAAAGTGAAGTGAAAATCACTGCGTCATGTCTGACGCTTTGCAACACAGTGGACTGTAGCCTGCCAGGCTCCTCTGTCCACAGAATTCTCTAGGTAAGAATACTAGAGTGTGTAGCTGTTCCCTTCTCCAGGAGATCTTCCCAACCCAGGGATTGAACCCAGGTCTCCCATACCACAGATGGATTCTTTACCATCCAAGCCACCAGGGAAGCCTAAGAATACTGGAGTGGATAGCCTATCCCTTCTCCCTCAAATCTTCCTGACCCAGGAATCAAACTAGGGTCTCCTGCATTGCAGGTAGATTCTTTACCTGCTGAGCTACCAGGGAAGCCCACAGATCAAGGAAAGGGGATTTTAACATCTCTGTCAAGTTTGTGCTTTTTTAATGTTTGTTTCATGTTGTCTCATGTTTTCTTTGACTACTAGCAAATATAACTTTCTGATGGGTAAACACTATGGTTATTAATTCTCTAATACTGAGTTTTTCTAAATACAAAGCAAGATTTTTTTTAACCCCCCCAAAATATCCTTCAAAGGCAAAGGAATCCATATATTAATATCTAGCACCTCACAAAGTCTCTCAAAGTATAGGAAGCTTTCTCTTCTTTGCTTTGAAAAACAAAAGTGCTATTTGGAAAAGATATGATAATCTCAAATGACCTCCATCAATGCTAGCTTTTTTTTTTTTTAAAGAATTGCTTAAAAAGAGGGTTAAAACACTTTTACAAGATAAAGGCTTTTTCTGTGATTCCCACCACCCACCCCCTCCCCCCGCACCTCCCCGGGACTATATCCTGAAAGTTACACACACTGGATGATGAAAGTCTTTGCAAGCAAGACTTCCAAAAATCACTGTCCATCTTAAAGAGAACGACACTCATCTATTAAGTTGTGGATAGAAGGGATACAGGAAATATCTTAATGTTATCAAAGTGGGGACTGGCCTCTTAGAAAAGATCTCTAGTGAAAACATTATATGTGGATTAGAAGTATCATATGCTAGCATGGAGATGGAGATAAAGATGATGTGTTAAGTGACTCAAAAGTGATTTTATTGATGATGAAAACTAGATGTCAAAATATATGTAAACAGTCTGAGTAAAATTGTTTTATGAAAGTGGAAACTAACATTCTAAATTAATACAATGGCTTATAAAATATATAATTTTATATATGGTTATATAATTACATTAATAAAGTAAGATAAGTAGCCACCTAACTTTTCAATCTATACCTCCACAAAGTTGCATATTCAAATCAGTAAAAAAGCTTTGGTAAATAAAATATCTTATCATAAAAGTGGCAGATTACCTTCTATTTGGAGGTACCTAATTTTCCAGCAACTTTCATTGCATAGCATTGTATACAGAAAGTTCAATAAATGCTACTTGTGGTCATGATTATAACAAATAGAAACTTCCATTTTACAAAGAGAAAAATTAACTGAAATAAACTCAGGTTTAAAAATAAAACACAAGAATCAAAATCATGATTCCCAGTATCAGCTTAATTAGGTATTAAAGTCAAGGTATTTAAATACTTTCTGATCTCTCTTTATAAATTAGAACAAACAAAAAATAACCAACAAAAACCAGAAGTTGTTCTTGTACTTGTGCATTATTTAGGTAAGATGAGGTTACTCAGTCCAGAAGTTACACTGAAACCTTAAAACACAGAGAGTTACTTGTGTATATAATTTAATGGATTAAATACCCTTATTATTAAGATGATGCAATGAAATAGACATGAAACACATCTGTTCAAATACCATGTATAGTCAGCGTATTACAGACATATAGGACATGGTGAATGGTTTGGTTCTGCAAAGCATGGTAACTTACCTTGGCTTGCTAACTTGAACAGAAAATGCAGTGATTATTTAGCTTCAGAATACATACCTCTAAATAGTCAGTGGAGCAGTTTGTGTAATATTCCAATTCAAATGCTAAAAATGTGTAATTCACAGTGTTTCCAGTTGTTGCTTGGATGGTCCAGTTGCAACGCTGGTTGACAGGATAGGGATTTGGATAATGTATACTCTCTAAGATGCCATAGGTTTGATTCACAATCACCACGTTATCACATGCTGGGAAAAATAACAATGACTGTTAACCACTATCATACGTATCATAATTGCCCCAAGATGTGTGTGATTTTTCTATAGGAAAACATCTATGTTAAAAAGAAACATATATATGTGTGTACACAAACACACACACACACGCATACACATAAATACACATAAATGCATACATACACAGGTAGCTGGTGCACATTTTTATATGGAAATGGTCTCCATTTAGAACAAATGTGAAATAATATTTAAATGAATTCTTAAACTTTGAAGTGTCATGAAAATTGCCTGTGTTAAAATTGGCATCATGTTCCTATGAATTGGTGCAGAGCAGAATAGCGTAGCCTGACTCACACATCAGTCTAATTTGTTTGTTTAGAAAAGTGTATTAAACATTTTGTGCTTCTGTTTTTCCAACTTTAGCATTTGGAAGAGACAGAAATCTTGACCTTTAAATTCAACAGTTTAGAAACACAAAGTCCTATGTGAGTGCTAAAAATGATTAACAACATGGCTTTGTTCAACATTCAAAAGTCAGCATGAAATTCATAATAAAGACTCTTTTATTCCTCTAGTTACTCATCAGGAAGATTCAATTGAATAGAAGCAATGTAAAAGATTTGAAGAAGAAACAAAAACATTAAATTTTGGAGAAAAAGTCTTCAATCAAATGGTGGCATTTTCTTTAGCTGAGTTTTCAACACAACCATACTAGGCACTTCTACGTATGGCTAATCTTGGGAGCCACTGCCAAATTCCACCAAACTTAATGACTTTAATGAGGCCTAGGCATGCCTTTTCTCTAGTCTTTTTCATACTGTATGATGTGTAATAAAAGAGAATTGGAAAATAAATATATTAAAAAATTGTCTCTAAAAAATGTGGTTTGTAGATGCATTTCTCCTACATTGCTTCTTGACAGGTGACTGGGACACCATTTGTAAGTCATTGAGGTCTACAGTTTCCCTCAATAAAATTTAACTAACTTTTGAGACAGATGACAAAAACAAAAGGGTTGGATAACTATGTATAATGGAATAATGTCCCAATTAGAAGACTGCCATGTTTAATTCAAATGAAAACCCATTAACTGCTAACCAGTTACATCAATCTATTTAAATTGTGACTATAAATTGTGACTGTCTCAGCAAATTCTTCTTCCAGGTTTCTGAACTTACCACATGTGTTAGTTACATGACATTATACCCAATGTGTAAGCATTTCTCCATCAAACAGAGTTAAATTTTTTCATAAGGAGCTAAGATTTATTCATTTGCTCACACTAATGGGTTACACTTCTTTCAATTTGCTTCATTCAAGAGACTGAAGAGAAGGTAGTTCTGGTTCCAGCATGTGGAGTTCTCGTTGCTGGTGGTCAGTTGCCGCAGTTGGTGGGCAGTAACTGAGCCAAGATGCTGCGGAATCTTCTGGCTCTCCATCAGATTGCTAAGAGGACCATAAGTACTGCTTAACGCAGGCAGTTTGAAAATAAGTTTCCAGAGAAACAAAAGCTCTTTCAGGAGGATAATGGAATTCCAGTGCATCTAAAGGGTGGGAGAGCTGATGCCCTCCTGTATAGAGCAACCATGATTCTTACAGTTGGTGGGACGGCATATGCCATGTATGAACTGGCTGTGGCTTCATTTCCCAAGAAGCAGGATTGACTTCAGTTTATCCTCCCGGCCATCAGTTGGTTTAATTCCATTCGTCTCTCCGATACATAACTGAGTTCTTTGGGGATCAGTATTTATTGACTTGTACTAGCTGCCACCAATAAAGCAGTCTTTACCATGAAAAAAAAAGAGAGAGAGACTGAAGACCCACTACAGTCACCAAGCAACCAGTATACACACTTACTCTGCTGGTATTTAACCAGGAAGCCACCTCCTTGCTGGCCTTCATCTGTTCTCAGTTTTAAAGACACGCTGTCTCCACTGGAACGGATGACAGGTGGTATCTCATTTCCACAAAGCTGAGTTAGCAGATGAGAGCTGGTACTTGGCCCATCATATACCTTTAAGAAAACATTTTATTGTTTGTTTGTTTATTTGTTTTTTGGTCATTCCACAAGGCATGCAAGATCTTAGCTCCCTGACCAGGGATCAAACTTGTGCCCCCTGCAATGGAAGTGCAGAGTCTTAATCACTACACCACCAAGGAAGTTCCAAGAAAATATTTTAAATGTCAGATGATTATGGCTGTAAACATTATCTAAATGACTCCGCAATTCTTGAGAAGTGAGGAAGAAATACAAAATGATATAACAAAAGAAGAGCCCTGAATCAAAATATCTTGTAAAATTGTATTTAAATGTCTATAAACTTGAGCTATGTACTCAAGCTGTGGCTATGTATAGGAGTAAGGGAGAGAACCTAGCCTGATTGAAAATAAAGGATTATTACATGTTTTTGAGACCATAGCTATTATCAGTAGTCTTCCTTGCTTTTTTATTTCATAGTTTATCATTTATGACACTTTAACACATTTTTTATTTAGATGGTTATTTAATGGAGACAGTGACTTACTGGTACTGTAAATAGCCCTACTTTATTGACTTCAGTTTTCTTTAATTCAACCTCTGATACAGTCCTCTAGATTGTTAGTTTTCAATACATATATAGAAATCATGTAGATAATAACTATGATAAATCTCATAACCCCTTTCAGGAGATTTTTAACCATATCTTAACAGTCTATATTCAATATATTTTAAAGACTTAGTGTACTAAGTCATTCATTAACATATGCTGTACTTAGAAAGGTATTTTCATCAAATTTTCTTTTAATTTTTATTTTGTTTAAATTTTTAATGTGGATATTGTTTAAATATTCCCTTTTCCTGAATCTCAGAAATAAAAAAATGATGCATTGATGTGTACCGGACAAGACGGGAGCAGTGAAAGCTACAAGTGAAACTTCATACATACAGCCAGATAGTCTTGACTACAGTTTGGATGATACTCCAAATGGAAGTCTTCAAACTCCAGCAGGAACGGGCTGCCGTGGCTGGCCTTCAGCCGCCAGGAGCACTCGGAGCTGTGGTAGTAGGGCATCGGGTAGTTGGGGGACGTGAACGTGCCGGTGGACGTGGTGAGGTTGCCCCCACAGCCTGCAGGAGAAAGATGGGATAACACACAGTCTTTTCTTTCTGTAAAACTGAACTCTCTTGTCTGGATCAAACTGGTGCTACTGTCACTCCCCTTAAAAACCAAGCTGCAAAACAACCCTGCACCACCAAAGACTAGTTGGCCTAAAATTTCAATTCACATCAATGTACTTTCCTTTTCCCAACCAAGATGACCAGCTTGATGAACTACACCAGGGAATATGGTGTAGTTCCCTTACTATGTCCTTCAAAAATAAAAACAAAAACAAAACAGCTAAGGTTAATTCAGAAATATTCACAATGTTGAAGTTTATGACAAATAGTACTGACAAAATACAGTTAGAAAAAAGAAAAAACAGGTGAGAGCACAGTAATCCAAGAATGAAAAATCCAATCAGACTGGACTCTCCAGTAAAGGACACGTCTCGGCCATTTACCTGTTAAGGACCCATCCCAGTAAGCCGAGAATCCAAGCCCAGAGCCAAAGAAGTCACTCTTAAATTTTAACCATAACTTGTTACTATGGGAGATGATTCTTGGAGGTGAATTTGAGCCACAGTATTGCCCCAGGAGTGGTGAACTTTCATAGCCTCCATTCCTGTGACAAAATATAGGTGTGATCATTTATTAGGTTATTAGGTTATAACATAAACATTTAACACTAATTAACTTTGAGATCAAAAACAGATCCATTTGTTAGTCAACCTCTCTCAAAAATATTCTAATAACAATTGCAAGTTTTCAGTTTTTCACTTTATTAAATAGCATGTGAATAGCAATATAGAATCACCATCATTTATTGTTGACATGACATTTTATATAACTAATTACATATGGAGAAAAAGTACTTAATCTTCTCCCTTTCAAATAAAGCATCTGGAAAATGTATCATAGAACAAAAGATAAGGAAACAAAAATTATTAACAATATAAATAAATGTGGCTTAATTTTACAGAGAAACTTGAATGTTTTTCTAATTTGAAAGTTTTCAAAATGTAATATATTTGACATAGTTATGCATAGTTTTAAAAATACTTCCTTCCTTAAGAACTTTTGGAGTCTTAAATCTAGTTTACTATCTATAGTTTATAATCTGTACTTTCCAAGTATAAAAAAAGATTCATTCACCAATGATTGCTGATAATTAAGAAAATCATCTTATTTTAGCATTATATGGTGGTGGTGCTCAATCGCTAAGTCACGTCTGACTCTTTGCAGCCCCATGAAATGCAGCATGCCGGGCTTCCCTGTCCTTCACTATGTCTGCTCAAACTCATGTGCACTGAGTTGCGGATGCCATTCAAACATCTCATCCTCTGTCACCCCCTTTTCCTCCTGCCGTCAATCTTTCCCAGAATCAGAGAATTGTGATTTATTGTTTAAGTAGCTTACTTTACATCAGAGAACTAAATTTATTATAAAATAGTATAAGATTCTAGCCTTTTGAAATGCCAAATAAAAACTTTAACACAGATGTGCAACAAATTATTACTCTAATTTAACTCAATGCAACGATCTGGAAATCCCATGGACACAGAAGCTTGGTAGGCTATAGTCCATGGGTCGCAAAAGAGTAGAACATGACTTAGCAAGTAAAACAACTATAACGATCTGTGGAGATATTAATATATACCTTAACTCACCTTTACTGCAAATATAACTTAAAAACCCATTCTTTCAAAGCACTAGAGAATTAAAGAAAAAAGTCTTGCACTGAAATTCACAAGCCTTTCTGTTTTCCTACTGCTAAGTCAGGTTCCAAATGACAAATTTTATATCTTGTAAGAAAGAGCACAAAAAGGAACTTCACAGAAAATTTTCTATATTTTTTTCTTATCCTTTCCAAGAAAAATTAAAAGTGAAAATAAATAAGAGAAAACAAGATTATGATGAAATAAAAGTGCTTACCTTATTTCCACATAATCTGCTACACATGTGCTACCAATGGCCTCCTCCAAGGAGAAGTTTGTGAAGTGTAATGCAATCTGTTGGCCGCTTTCCACTGTGATCCTATAAATGCATTCCAAGTTGTTGGGGTAAAAATGGGGGAATTTTGGAGAAGTGAAAGTCCCAGATTCTTCTGTATAGTCATTCAAGCATGCTGTGAAAAGAAGCAGATCCCAAGAGGAAAAATAATTTACAAGATAATACATTTATAAGACATATAGTTATATACACTTCATTAATTTATGCTAATATATTTGATTTTCAATATGCCATTCTGGGATGTTCGAAGAATGACTTCCTTTCAAAACAAAGTTTTCAAAATCTCAAAGGCAAAATCAATTACTAATAGTAAACCTAAGCTATATGGTGGAAGTAGTTACATATAATCACAACTTTTTGGTTCTTGGAAGTACTTTAATTTTTTCTAATCTG